GTGGCGTGAGGAGACGAAGAAAGAGAGAACAAAGAGAGATAGGACGGAACTGAAGGGATTGGGCAGCGGCGCCACCGCCGTGAGAGTGGTGGAGAAAGAAATGGGAACGGCGGTGCTATTGAGGGGAAGCGGCGTAACAACATGGTTTCCCGTTCATATGCGTTCACCACTGCAATTCGCTTTAGTGCAAATTTTGGTCAAGCGACAAGCGCCATTTCATAGGGGGTCAATTAATTTGGCGTTTATTATTTAAGTTTTTTTCAAAGTAAATAAATTATTTTAAAAATAGTAGTTAATTTGACGTCACCCCAATATATAATTACTGAATACTAAGAGCATGCTTGCATACAATAAATCTAAAAAAAAGTTCAAAAATTTAACTCAATCATTTTTTTTAACTAAATTTTAACTCAAACTCCACAATTATTAATATTATCAATATAATTAAATAATATCAATCAATCATTCATACACACCACATCAATCTTAATTCAGTATTCATCCACTCACATTATTTTAACTAACAATCATATCAAATTTTTAATTATTTTATTTTAAATATTATTTTAGTATACCAGCTAATAATTAAACATACTACCTTTTTCAAAATTAACCAAACCAAACAAAAAAAATCCACCAAAACCAAAAAATTTCATACCCAAACATTTTCCAAATCTTCATGCTTTGTAATTCTATATAGCAAAATATCATGTTTGGGAGTCAGATTTAGATATAAATTAATTTTTTCTATACAAAAATTCTTAGATTTCATTTAATGTTTATATTATTTATATTAAATCTCGTGGTTGATTTCTTTCTTATTTTATTCAACGTTTAGTTGTCATAAACTATTTATGTTTTCTTTTCCTACATTACCATATCTTATATTTCATTTTCTTATTTAATTGATACATCAATTATTATAATTTTTCTGCTTCTTATTTTTAAAATTTTATAATTTTCTTTTTTGTTTGTATTTTATTTTTCATATACGATATATGAAATTAATTATCTGTTAGCAATCTTCGATTTGACATCCATATTATATATATAGTACAAAAACTAAAATGTACCCTCATAAAGAAAATTTGAATTTATCTATTAGAATAAATTAATTTTTTTAAATAAAATCATAAATTATCTTGAAAAGTATGTGTATTACTATTAACATACCATTTAATAGTTATTTTGTTTGAAAAAATAATATTTAAAATAAGTATGAATATCAAATTAATATAAAAAATATTATAAAGTATATGTCTTAACTCAAATAAAGACTACACAGAGAATGCACATTGTAACAACCATGAAAACAAAAACAAAATAAACATTATAAATAGAATAATAAAAGTAATTAATATATTTCATAAAGTTAATCTCATACACATTATATTTTCAATTATTTGAATATTACAAAATTAAAGATATTTTTAAAATTTTAGATGAGGAAATAAATATGTATAATTATAAAATATAATTAAACTATAATATAACTTGAAAATAATTAAATCAATTTAAAATTAAATTATTGAGCTGTAAATAACATAATAAATGTGTGTGTGTGTGCGTCCGTCTGTGTGTGTTTGTGTTTGTGTTTAAAAAAAAACTTGACAAGTTAATTATAAACATGGACGAATCTAGAAATTAAGAGTAGACTGTACTAGAATTTTAAAAACTCATTTCAAAAAAAATCACATAATATTTTTTTCTTCAAATATTCATTAAAGTTGTGCTCGCGACTCGCGAGCTTTTACAAAGAAAATTCATTTAGCTTATTTTGAACTGTATTTTACGTGTTTTCATTAGTTTAACGTTGATCTCGTCGATCTCGTTTTCTAAAGAACGATAATATCAATGGAGTGCCGAATATTGGTACTTCATGTGAATTTATAAAAATTTCACAATACAAATAAATAATATTCTATGGTTATTAGCAAAATAAAATGGATACACATCATAAATTTAAATTCAAATATGAAATACAACAGCCACACTAGAGGATAAGAAATTATAAAAAAAAAAAAAAAAAAAAAAAAAAAAAAAAAAAAAAAAAAAAAAAAAAAAAACAAAAAAAAAAAAAAAAAAAAAAAAAAAAAAAAAAAAAAAAAAAAAACACACACACACACACACACAATTACTACTTCATAAACAATCAACAAAATAAAAATTGCAACTAAATGATCCTAGCAGTTACTATTATAACTCAAATAATACATTTAAAATCAGAAGATAGATAAAAACAATTAGACAAATGAAACAAATATATAATAGAGAGTTTAAAAATATAACTTACTATTAAAGAAGAAATTAAATCGTCTTTTTTTAAGATAGTCTCTTTCTCGTTAAATATTTTTTTTTTGTTCATATAAATTCATTGTTTGGTGTTCAAAAGAGGGACATGGCCGAGGCTAACTTATTTGATTGAAGTTTGGTGTATAGTGATATTTTGTGGGTTTGTGCTTAGTGGAAAAGGTGGATAAAAAATATATAATATTTTATTAGAATGAAATTTGTAGTATATGGACTTAAATCAATAAGTGAATTATTTTAATGGGTTAGTGAGTTAGTTTATTGGGTTGGGCTGAAAATACAATATATATTTTTTAAAAACTTATAATAATAATAATTGTTTAAAAAAAAATAAGGCCTGGGCTTGAGCCTAGTCCCGGGCATACATACATTCGTCTCTGGTTATAAAACATGTTATTTAAAGAAATAAATTTACTACCTTTAGTAATTAGTTGTATTTTTTATTTTTTTATCATTCTATTAAAATAATATAAATTTTTTCACTTCTTTATTTTGGTAAAAATATTTGATTTTCAAGTACCCGTGTTGTTCACGTGCATTCCATTAACTACCGAATATATTAATTATTATGTTTAATTTTAACAAAAATAAATATAAATTAAATAAAATGAATAATACTTCATAAAACATATTATACAATTTGAAATAATGTTAAAAAAATGTCTTATTAATTATTTATAGCTTTAAAAAAAAAAAAAAACTACAGTAAGAATTTCAATTATTTTTCACTTATTATTGAACAATTAATATTTTATCAAACTCTCGTGTAATTCAGGGCGTTATACTAGTAGTGCATTATTTAAAAAAGTACATAAGGTGTCCATGTTCAATGTGGACGTGGTTATTGGCATGGTTCATTATAGTAATACTTGGGAGCCAACTGTTGGCTCCCTAACGGAGCTAACAGCCAATGGAACAGCTCTATGTGGGGCTGTCCCACATTAGAGTCATGTGGGACAGCCCCACATGGAGCTGTATAATTGATTGTTGGCTCTGTATAATGGGATTGTCTAGACTAGTTTTAATTTTGAACAAATCTCGCAACTTAGAAATTGTTCACAATAATTGTAGTTATCTCTCTAAAATCTTTCCCCAAAATCAGAGATTCCTAAAAGCTCTCCCACCCGATCATGAAGCCTCCCGTATGTCGGCGTCAGTCTGCCGCTGCGTTGACTTCACTAGGTGGCCGACGAGTCTCCTTCTTCAATGTCCCCTGTAGCCCGGTGCGGCATTTCTAGCTCCTAGCGGCCATGGCGGTGCTTTGGCGGGGTCCCGACATAGTTTGTTGGGCTCGAGCTCGCCATGATCGTCCGCTGCCCTGTGGCGGCCGGCGGCGGAGTTTGTGGCTGTGTATGCTGCTCGGGCCATCCTGTCTCTTGGTACTGGGGCGGGTGGTCTGACAGTGGGGCTTTGGGTTGTCGGCAGTGGTGAGCAACCTACTACTTCCGGCCGGTTTGGTGATGGGGGGCCTCTTCGGCTAGAAATCGCGGTGAGGATTGGGGTGTTTTCGATTGGAGAAGGTTCGACTCGTTTACGGGTTTAGTTAGGCCTCATTTGTAGATTATAGTTTCTAGATCTCGACTGAGTCGTGTTTCTTCTTCTTCTTCTTTTTTTTTTTTTTGGTCGGGACCGTTCGTGCGTTCGGCTCAGGGTTTGCTAGCGGTTGTGAAGGGCTATTTTTCATTTTTTATTTGTGCGAGTTTTCATTTATGTGTCGTTTGTAGTGTTTTGTGGTGGTTTTATGTGTCTTGTGCTCTTTTTTTTTATGTGTTGTTGGATGTTTATTCTCCCGTTGCGGAGCAAATATTCTCTCTTTTGAGGAGGTTGTATTATCCTCTTGGGAGGTTTTTAGTTGTTTTGTATTGTGGATGAGGCCAGCCTCAAATTTCACCGGGGTCGGCAATATTTTTTAGCGGGGTCATTAACCTAGTAAACAGTGTTTGAACAGTATTTTATACTAAAAATTTTGAAATCCATAGGGGTCAGCTGACCCCAGCCATAAGGTGTGGCTCCGCCACTGGATGAGTTTAAGTAGTTGCTTATAGGCTACATCTGATTAGTTCTCCCACAGTCCCACTAGAATCATCTGTTTTGGCTGTTGTGTTGGCTGTTTGGCTATTACTAATTGAAGTCTAGTTGTAATCATGTATTTTTAAGTTTTATAATATGCGTTTAAATAATAATAATAATAATAATAATAATAATAATAATAATAATAATAATAATCTATAATCTATATCTATAATAATATAAAGAGGTTGTTGGAAAATACAAAAAAAGTAAGTTTGACTTCAAAAAATAATCCTTTCACTTACTACTTTAAGTAATAATTACTACTTTATGTAATAACCAAGAAGGTCCCACAAATTAAATTAATTATTAATTATTAATTAACATAAAAATACGGAATATCATAAATCAATCCTTCCATTAATAAACTATTTTTAGCTGATTCTGTGCAAATTTTGTGTTCGCATGTGCATTGCCTTCCAAGAATTTTCGGATTTTGTTACCTAATTATGATGATTTCTCTCATATTATGCTGATTTTTTAGTTGATTCTGTTTTTATGCTGATTCCTTTTTTATTTTTCCAAAAACATCTAATTTTAATAACAAAAAATGCTATAAAATCGCATAAATCGGCTTACCAAATTCTCTTACCGATATTTTGCCATATATTAAGAGATAAGAATTATCTTTTATTTTGCCAACTAATCATTATTATATAAAACATCTCATTTTTAATAACAAAAAAAGCTACAAAATCGCATAGTGAGGCTTACCAAATTGTCTTATCGATTTTATGCCATATATTAAGAGATAAGAATTATCTTTTATTTTGCCAACTAATCATTATTATATGAAAGATATCCGATTGGAATAGATGGTGATATTCATAATAAAATAAATCGGGTATTGTCCCTTAAGAAGATTAGTACAAGCAATAAATCCGTAAACATCCATAAAAATCCAAAAGAATCGTAAAATTAATCATTACTATATAAATATTAACAAACTTGAACAACATATATTCTACATCATACACATCCCGCACTACAACTTTTTTTACGAAGCTTTTCAACATCATCTCAACGTGCCTTTGAATTTTGGAGTCATCAGGATATCCACAGATCCAATAAGTCACCAATCAAGCTACACATAATTAGGATGTTCCAACGAGTTGAAGACGTACGCAATTACCGAAATTTTCTAGAGATTATCTTTCACGATTCGGAGGTAATATGTTCACACATTCATACTGTATTTAATTTAAATTTAAAGTTATTTTATTGTGCTTATTAAATTATTTAATAATTTAATATGTATTGTCTTAGAGATTACGAATTACTGGCATAATTTGACCTGTGAATATCCAAAAATTCGTCGGTGATATTGAAGAAATGTGGTAAGTATGTCTTGACAAACTATCAAGTTGAAAGCAATATTGACATCTACAAATCGACTATAGGAAAATGGAGGATCATTATCCATGGCCAAACTAAGATTGTCAAATTGTAAATATATAATTATTTATATGTTATATTTGTATAAATTATATTAACGTATTTGTTGTTTATTCATGAATTATTTTTCCCCTAAGAAACCAGTGTTTAGTCATGGTCAGTTGTATGTTGTTGTCTCCCGTGTTGCAAACAGAAATGGTTTGAAAATCTTAATTTGTGGCGATGATGATGTGTCAACGAATCAAACCATGAACGTTGTATATAAGAAAAGTGTTCAATAATATATAGATTATTTTTTATTTATTTTCTTAAACTTTTTATTATTAATGACATGATGTTTCTGTTAGTTTGAACTGTATGAGAGATTTGCTTTTTAAAAGGGACGGAGATAATAAACCCCCGTGCATCGCACGGGTACTGTACTAATAATAATAATAATAATAATAATAATAATAATAATAATAATAATAATAATAATAATAAAAAACAATGAAAAAATAAAATGAAATAGGTCTTTTCAAGGTACTAATAGAAATAGGTCTTTTCAAGGTACTAATAGCTACTGTACTAAAAAAAAAAAAAAGTACTAATAGCTATCACACAACCACAATATTTTATTTTCTTTAACATCACCTAAATTTCAAGATTGAACATATGCATAGCTTATGCACTCTCCTAAATTAATGAACCACAGTAATGCGAAAGAATTTCTGATAACAGTAAAATATGAGAAAGACTCTACAATAAACACACTACAAACTCACTTTTGACATATGAGAAAGACTCTCCATAGAATTTCTGATATTCCCATTTAAAAATATCACTAGTACAACACTCGTGTATTACACGAGTGCTTGTTAAAAAATTATATTTAAATTTTAATTAATGAGAAAATTATATTAAATTTAGTTTACTTTTTTACCAAAAAATATATTATTATATATTTTAGAATGATATGTGTTACTTATGACTTACATATTTTATATTATATTAATTTTGATAAATAATTTAATTTTTCTAATTAATATTAAAATAATTTTATTATTGTTATAAAAATAAATATAAATTATTTTTTATACATACAATATGGATATTAAATTGAAGCTCATAAAAAAAAAATTAATTTGATATATTACATATGTAAAACTGATAAAAAATACAAAAGTTATTAACTTTTAAAATATATATACAATTCAATAGTTATAATAAAGAATGATATTAAAATGCAATTAATACATTTAACATGACCATAAATAATCAACATATTTATGGTAATCCGAACCTAATTATTTTTGGTTTGAAATTAAATTAAAATTTACCCAAGCCTAATAACGAAACATGTAATTTTACCACATAAGATTCCAAAGCACCAAAAGCAACCACGTAGGCTAAACGCGTTCTGAATTAATATATAGGGGGTTATAGGGGATACTTTGAAAAACAATATAAACATTAAAAGAAGTGATACAAACAAAAGTATGATACTTAATGTTATATTATTATATGTATTCAATTTTGTTGATATAGTATTTCGGGTTAACCCGTCTATTCGTTAAGCTTCCTTAAAAATTAATTTGTGGGAAGATTATACTTACTTAGGTGCCATGAGGGGTTGAGACCTAAAACCCTACTAATAGGAACCCCTGTCTTTATAATAAAATGATTTGAATCACAGGACAAGAAAAATCACACCAGATAACAGTACAGAAACCTCAGCAGATGTACTTATCCATTACACTGAAATAACCATCCAAACAAGTGCAAGGCTGGGACGAATCCCTTAATAACTTATTATACGCGTGAATAAAGCACGACTGACTAATGGATCAGTAAATTCAAGCAGTAATGGTACTTAATAACTTATTATACGCGTGAATAAAGCACGACTGACTAATGGATCAGCAAATTCAAGCAGTAATGGTACTATGCTTAGCCACTGTCAGCTGCAAGTCCTCCTTCTTTGCACCAACAATCTTGTCGACTACCTTTCCCTCTTTGAAGAACAAAAAGGTGGGCATAGCCTCCACTTGATTTTCCTCAGCCACGGCCTGCACAAAAATGTTTTCACACAAGATGAGCAACTAACTAATCAATAGATCCCATTCGACAATCTCGATTAATACTAGATTTTTTTTGTTTTTATTTTTTTAATTTCTGAAGTTCAATTCGTTAAGAATCAAACAAAAGAATGGTACAAATTCGTAAGAAGTAAAAGTCGAAAAAAGGGTACCTTGAGTTCATCCACATCAACCTTGAGGAATATAACATGGGGTGTCTTCTTGGCAATGTCAGCCAAGATCGGAGCAATGAAACGGCACGGCCCACACCATGAAGCCGTGAAGTCAACAACCACCTGATTGAAAAGTTTTTGCAATAAGAAACACATAAATAATAATACATAAAACAAATCTCAACAAAACATTAAGCCAAAAGGTCGGATGGTTAAAACATAAATAAGCTGGAAGTATCAAATAAGAACAACATGCAAGAATTCGGCATTTTCCTAAGTTAACACCATCATAAATACCCATGTCATCAGATAAAATGACCTTCTTTCTTCACAAGAAATATTATCATATTCATTTTAGGCTACTTAGGGGATATTGATTGCGAGCAGCATCTCGCGTGAATCTATCACACTCATAACACATAACCTCACAGAAGAACCCCTTTTTCTTTTCACATTCCCAACGGATATGCGACGATATCAACTGGGGATGCTAATTTGGTCTAAATAGAGATAAAAGCCAGATAATACTCTGCAACAACATCAAGAAAGCCACAATATTTTGCTCTCAATTTCTGCACATACAATAGAAGATGCAATAAGCATCCCTTCCACATACAAGACAGTCGAAATTCTCTTACACCAGTTGAATAATTCAATTTTCTGTGTCCACTATAAAACGAATAGATGGATCTTGACAATAATCACCTCCCTTACCAATTTCGACATATCGACATAAGTATACATAAAAAAGATACACCAAAAATACACACACGTCGTTTGTACTTAAACCATAACATACCCAAACACGCCTCAATTCACACATAACACTTACAGCGGATATCTGATCAAGAATTTTTCATCATCATCATCATCTTAATCATCTTTCCATCAATGAAAAATCCCGACAAAAATCGCCTCCCTTAAGACCCCAAAATTGGTAACAATTTCAACATATATCGACATAATACACAAGAACAAGACACACACACACA